TATGTATTGCAGAACATGGAGGCTTTTGAATCAAAAAAATCTTACTTTATGGACCGTGCAGATCAGGAGCACAGAGAGGTTAAAACTGGGAGATGAGCAGGGTTTGCAAATGGAAATGAAAAACTCCTCCTTTCCCAGTGTGTTAAGCTTAAAGGGAGTCCCAGCAAAAGCAGAGGAGAAAGAGGGGAATTCTTTGGTGGCTTTATAAGCATTTATACTGTTGAAGTGAGTTTTTCCCCTCCAGGGCTGTGTCTAGACTGCATCCCTTTTCCGCAAAAGGGATGCAAATTAGACACATCGCAATTGCAAATGAAGCAGGGATTTAAATCCCCCCCACTTCATTTGCATAAACATGGCTGCCGCTTTTTTCCGGCTTGGAGCTTTGCCGGAAAAAAGCACCAGTCTAGACGGGGATCTTTCGGAAAATAAAGCCTTTTGTGAAAGATCCCTTATTCCTCTTACAGCCTTTTCCAAAATATCCCTTATTCCTTATTTTATTTTCCAAAAGATCCCCGTCTAGACTGGCGCTTTTTTCCGGCAAAGCTCCGAGCCGGAAAAAAGCAGCAGCCATGTTTATGCAAATGAAGTTTAGGGGGATTTAAATCCCCGCTTCATTTGCAATTGCGATATGTCTAATTTGCATCCCTTTTACGGAAAAGGGATGCAGTCTAGACACAGCCCAGGTGTATATTGGTATAAGACGGTGGGGGCACCCTACTGGGCCACATACAGACCCTCAGAGTTCTATCTGTGGTCTGAGACACATTTTGTTACTGTTGCCCACACGCAGGGTTGCCAGATTCTGTTGCTTTCTGTCTGTGTCATTTTTCCCTGCCAATATTTAGTGACACGCACATAGAGCCAGGGCACAGGACATGAAGCACACAACATTGTGGAAGTTGTGAGCTTCCTTTGCATCCCATCAAAGCGCTGCTATGGTTCCATCAGCACATCCCGCCAATTCTAGGTACTCCAGTGCAGTTAGAAAACTGCTTTACTCCGGGAGAACGTCTTGAATGAACCTTTGGTTGTATAGCAGATGAGGTTAGGTCTTCTGACGGCGTCAGACAGAGTGTGGACAGACGGTGTGGACAGAGTTGGCAACGGGGTTTGTGGCAGGGTTTGGTTCCTGGGTTTGTGTTTCTGTTGTGGGGTGTGGAGTTGGTAAGTATGGCTACGTCTACACTGCTCATTGTTGCGCAATAAGATATGCAAATGAAGTGCAGGAATGAATATCACCGCACCTCATTTGCACACCTAATGAGCCGCCATTTTGCGGCATGGGCTTTTGCGCAAGAAGGAGCTATCTACACTGCTCCTTCTTGTGCAAAAAAACCCCTCTTGTGCAGAGCTGCTCTTCCTGAAAATAAGCAGCAGACCGGCTCTGCGCAAGAGGGTTTTTTTTTTGCGCAGGAAGGAGCAGTGTAGACAGCTCCTTCTTGCGCAAAAGCCCATGCCGCAAAATGGCGGCTCATTAGGTGTGCAAATGAGGCATGGCGATATTCATCCCCACGCCTCATTTGCATATCTGATTGCGCAACTATGCGCAGTGTAGACGTAGCTTATGTGTTTCAGGCGTCTGTAAGCGAGGGCTGGCCTGTCACCCGTGCTTAGGTTTCCATCCTGCACCGGGGTGAGCAACGAATTCAGAATAAGTTCAAGCTTTGCAAAGGGGCCCTGTTACCAAAGTAGGCTGTATAGGAAGCTAGCCATGTCCCTCAATAACGGCCAGACAGGTTTGGAACACAGGACCCAAAGATCTCCAAGCAGACAGGTATCTTGCTAATGACCTTCATGTTACTAACATCTTACATCCTTCATGCTGTGGTGTCAGCACATACGTGAGCCTTCCCGTGGCGCTGCTGGCCTCTTTTGGCTCAGACTTCAAGATCCACCCCAAGGCTTGGCTTCGTACCTAATGCGGCGCTGCACTGGGAGGGGAACCATCCTTCCGTTGGGCCCCTAAATCTGCTGGGGTGCAGGAGGATAAAAGTTCACTCAGAGCCCCAGCCAACAGTGTCCCTCTCCATTGAAAAAGAGTTGTACCCACGGCGGCATGTGTTACTGAGGAGCTCATAACAGTGGCTGCAGCTGTTTACACAGATGCTGTCCTGCCAGGAGCAGACGCATGGCTTCCCTTTGTAAAAGCTCTCCAGGCTGGCTTGTGCAATAATAGTGTTGCGTAAAATCCACTCCTCTTCTGGAAGAGCAGGGATGCTGCAGATCAGGATTAAGGTGCATTGACAGAGGCGTGTGTGTGTGCAGGACCATGCTTACCCCTGCACAGAATACGCAGCTGCCTAGGGCTCCTGAAAATTTGGGGCACCGCTAGGTCTTAATGTTCACTCACCCGCCTCTTCCTATCTCTGTTCTGTGGCTCTGCTGTCTCTAGAGAGGAGCTCGGTAACTTAAAAGGGAAAGTCTGCCAGACGGATTGGTAGAACATGAGCCTGGAAAAGAGCCATTCAAGTGGTGATGAAGCCATTTAACAGGCCAACCTCCGGTTTATCCTGCCAGTTTCTGAATCTCCTGTTAGTTGACAAGACCTTGGTTGAAACATTGAAGGAGTGTGCTGCTGACGGTTATAAAAGTTACAGCTCGAAAAAAATCATTGGCCCTCCTGGCCCACCTCCGGCTGCCAACAGGCATAGGAGCACCCATTTAACAGTACTGCATAGGGCCCCGTACAATCCTAAGGACTGCCCTGAGTGTGTGAGTTCACATTACCAATGTCACAAGGGTGTTTGCAAGCCTGGATCAGATACCTGATGGATCGACAAGGCTACGTCTGCACTCGCGGCTTCTTGCGCAAGGAATATGCAAATGAGGCTAAGCGTGGAATATTGCCGAGCCTCATTTGCATACCTAATGAGCCACCATTTTTGCAGAAGAGGCTCTTGCGCCAGAAGGAGCAGTCTACACCCGTGGTCCCCAACACGGTGCCCGCGGGCGCCATGGCGCCCGCGGGGGCATTTCCATGCGCCCGCCAGGTGCTCGGGGCTAGAATCGCTATGGATAGTAATTCCATGCTCCCATAATAAGAAATTAGCAGTAGGGATATATTACCGACCACCTGACCAGGACAGCAATACTGACACTGAAATGCTGAGGGAAATTAGAGAGGCTAATGGTCCCCAACACGGTGCCCGCGCATTTCCATGCGCCCGCAGGGGCATTTCCATGCGCTCACCAGGTGCTCGGGGCTGGCCTGGCACCGGGCGCTGGGCTGGGGGGGGGCCGCCCCCGGGGCACAAGTGTCCCCGCCCCCTGGCGCCCGGCGGGCGAACGGCCACGCCCCCTGGCGCCCGACAACTTTGAAAGGTTGGGGACCACTGGTCTACACTGTCCCTCCTTGCGCACGAAAAACACCTCTTGCGCAATGCCGTTAGTCCTGAAAATAATCGGCATGGCGGCCTTGCGCAAGTGGGTTTTTCTTGCACAGGAAGGGGCAGTGTAGACAGCTCCTTCTGGCGCAAGCACCTCTTCTGCAAAAATGGTGGCTCATTAGGTATGCAAATGAGGCTCGGCGATATTCCACGCTTAGCCTCATTTGCATATTTCTTGCTCAAGAAGCCGCGAGCGTAGACTTAGCCCAAGAGGGCAAGAGAGAAAGCAGTGCAAGGAGTTATGTTGTTCTTTTGACTACCTTGAGTCAGTAACATCAGTCCTCCATGAGCACCAGACTCCGCAGTGAAACACCCCAGATCCTGAGAAATGGCTGTTTTTTTTCCCCCGAGGGTGCTTTACCAGCATAAAGTTTGCTTGACGCAACTGGCCAGAGGTCAGTCCATCCCGAGACACTCCCTTTCCTTCTGAAGACATGGGCTTGCTGGGGATTGCATTGCCTTCTCTGAACATTCCTCGTGTATTGGAAAGGAGAATATAATGTAATTACTGAAAGAGGAAACATACAATCACTTTTCTGGTGACATTTCCCAGTGGAGTCTGAAAGGGAGGCGTTTTACATGCGATTTGTCTGTAAAACTAAAGCGGTGCAGTGTGCCGTGGCACTGAAACACGACATCTGGTGATTGTCAGAGTAGGAGGAAATGGGAATTTGCTTCAAGGTGCATTTGCAAAAAAAAAAAAAACCTGGCTACTGGTTGTACACTGTGCGTAGCAAAAGGAAGTCCATAGGCTGAAAGTAATTAGCCGGTGTTTCGCAGCTACCCTTAACTCAGTCCACAGACATGACAGGTACCAGTCAATGTTCCATCCACGTGTGGACTTTTCCCATCTATATGCGGAATAATTTTATGTACACTGACGCGCGTGCAAATGTGCACCATCAGTAGAAACAAGAAACCTAGCTGTGGGCACTCTGCTGATCAGCTCAGTGACATTTGAATTTCTCCACACAAGTGTCCATCTTGCAGGGAACACTGGTGCCAGTATGTCACATTTAATTACAAGCCAGCTCAGATCAGGGCAGAATTTAGCTAACTCTTGGCTAGGGTTTTCTCGGGCTCTAACTCCAGACTTGCTGTAATGTAGATCTACCTCCTCTCATGCCCAGCAAACATGTCCCTGGGTTCCTGGCATTTGCCAATACTATTTTTCAGTGCACAGGATTTGGATCTTCTGTTGTTTCAAGAGGGCTTCATGGAGGGGAGAGAGAGGAAAAACGAGATTTTTGGAATTGGCGTCTCCTTCATAAGGTTTTTAAGAGCTTGAAGGCTATTGCTGAATTTTTGAACATTCCTTTAAAACGAATAAGCCTTCCCTCTCTTTTCAAAGGCAAAATCTCTCTTCTCCTCTAAGGAATAAAATGTGGAAGTTCTGCAATGAAAGAAGAACTCATCCGATTCTAAATCCCAAGTTCTGGGTTTCACGCACAGCTCTGGTAGCAAATCTGCTTTGCACAGCAATGGGAAGCAATTGGCGTAAGCTTCCCCTGGGAATGGTTGCATGGGAAGGATGTCCTGTGCTAGTCCGGCATCTCACTGCTAAGTCTCATCCATAGAATCCAGTGTCTGATTTCTCTTTCTTATTTCCTCAAGGACCAACCCTGCGACCCGTCGTCACCTCTGATTTTTCCGGAGTATAAATGCGGGACCCCAGCTCTTTGGAAAAATGTCAGACAAGTTTGCAAAACAAGGTGATTCAACAGCAACTGCCCTGGAAAACACACAGTGCCAAGCCATGGACATCCTCAGTGTAAGTGGAAGTTTTGATCACTTTAATGGTGTTGTTCAATGTTTCTCCCATCGGTTTCACGTACAGCAGCAAACAGCTCCTCGGGGTATTACCTCTTTGCAAAATGGATAGAAAGAATCAGAAAGCGAGGGGGTGCTTACACACTGACGTGGACTCTAGAGGTACCCCTGAACCTGCTTTCTAGTCTCCCTTTAACAAATAGCTGTATCCACTCTGCTTGTGCATTGCCAGATGCATTGCTAGGGCACCAAATCTGTTGTCACTCAGCTGCATAATGACCCCACTCAATAACCGTCAGATGATAATGAAGGAGTTTTTAAAATGCATTCGATTTGTGGCTCTTTGTTTTCCACATGTCACTGGGGAAGAGACCTGCTAATGAGGAGGTCTGGGTTGAGAACTGGCAGGGATGTCTCAACTTTTCCCAATGGTTAGCTCATTCTCCTCCGAGGTCTTTCATTATTGTTCAGTTCTGGGTGAGGGGGAGGTCCATGGGGTGAAGACTGGAGAGTTCTGCAGGATCTGCCCTTTCCAAAAACGATCCCGGTATCCGTCAGGATGCCCCCTCCCCCCGGTCATAAAAACAACCGAGCAGTCCTGTGGCACTGTACAGACTATGGCAGAGCTTGGGACAGTGCCCCCTGGGTCCTGCGCTTCCTGGCAGGTTTTTGTGTGCCTCAGAGCCTTGTGGTGACCCTACCGCTGCCTCTTGCTTTTCTCACAAACGAGGGTACCCCGCTTCACGAGCCATTTTCACCATCACCCAGGCGCTAGTTTGGAGGGAAAACTCTGCAGGCCAAAAGTCCTTTTCCCCAGATGGCGTCCCACTGGCCAGGGGAGAGTTGGGGGGAACCCAGTCCCACCCACTTGCTCCAGGTTCTGGTTCAGGACCTTCTGGGTACGTCTAGAGTACAGGCTTTTTTTGACAGAGGCTTTGTTGTCAGAGACTGTCAACAAAGCCTCTGTTGAAAAAGAGCATCTTGACTACAGCCAGTTCTCTCAACAAAACAAGCCGCTTTTTCGACAGACTGTCTAGACGCTCTCTTTTGAAAAAGCACAGTGTGGATGCAAGAGCACCTTTTGCCGACAGAACTCTGTCAAAAAAAAGGCGTTATTCCTCATAGAATGAGGTTGACCGCCATCGACGAAACTGCCGTATTCTGTCAACTTATTGTCGACAGTAGTGTAGCTGCAAGTATAGTTTTGTTGACAAAAGTCCACTTTTGTAGACAAAACCCTGTAGTCTAGACACACCCTCTGTGGCAGCCAGCAGTGG